CCAAAAAAAATTAATCAACAACTCATGCAGCTTTTGACCTAGTACATGAAGTAATGTTAAATGAAAACATGAAATACTAAAAACAGTTTCGCTTATTTCATTTGCTGAAATAATATTCCTCGATATGTCTGATACTTTCTTTTTTCTTTTATTATCAAGTAAACAAACATATACATAACAAACAATTTAAGATAACATCTAAAAACCACTGAGGTTTGAGTTGTGTTATCAGAGTTTACAGAATTTTCGAATGTATTTTTCATTAAGTACTATTAAAAAACTCAAATGTTATGGAATGTGAGGTCCTGCATTAAACTGGTTGGACTCTTACTTAACCAACAGAATGCAATTCGTAAAGATGTCACAGATTGACAAAAACAATATGATTCAGCTTTACAAATCTAAATTTTAACTAAGATTAATATCTTCTATATTTCTTCTATATTATAAATAAATATAGAAGTTCGATGACGTTGACCTCCAAAAATGTCGCTGTGAAGCTGTGACCTGAAAAGAGGTATTATTCCAACACTCGTATGAAACGTTGTGGGTGAAACGAGAAAGATTAAATTTGAAAATGGGGTAGTGGAAAAATGATTGCCTTGAATATGAAATGGCGTGTAAACGAGATTTTTATGGAGGCACAAGTGTTTCAATTTTTGCAAGTAAAGTGGTTTCATAAATTATATTTTTTAGATTTTCGTATCTTAATGCATATTGGATCACTTGGTTAACCGTATGCTCTGTCTATCAACACTTGATTTAATGCTCTACGGTCACCTAAGTTTGTTTCAAGGGATATATATCAAACACCTATTCTGTCTGTGCTGTCAAAAAAAACGTATTCTATTTTATTCAGCACGTGTAGCATGACAAACTCGAGAAACGCTTTGTTTACACCCAAATGCACTTTCTCGGGTCGAGAGTGAGATGTTGTATGAGTACCCGAGAAAAGTGACATTTGAGTGTAGACAAAACATACTCGAGTTCGTCATGCTACGCGTGCTGGTCTGCACTTCCATTGAGTAAGTAGTAATCAAGTTTCTATGACAATGCATTACGACACATGCAAAGGAATAAAAAATCCGCAGTATTGACAATAAATTAAAGTAATAAAAAGACCTTTCAAGTGCCCGAAGTGGGATTTAAACCTAAGCAAATATGCTTAAAAGCATGAATTATTAAGAGTGCTTTAATTTGGGTGTCAGGTTATTAAGCATCCGAATAATTTTGGTTTTGATCAAAGATCAAAATAACGGTTTTTGTTCAAAATACTGATTATGGTTACTTTACAATTAGATCGCTTTGTCTGTCTCTCTCTGTCTTGTCTCGCGCCACTCTTTATTTTAGAAAAACAGATTTTGATCACGAATGAGACAATGTTCGAAGCTCCGTCCCCATTTTTGTTTAAAACTAACCAGGTTAAGGTTATAAGTGTTAATGATTCCGGTCTAAGAAAGCCTGAATCTGATTAATAATATTTCTTAACCAGTATTTTTTGGATCCATTCGCAAGCCCTGCCCGTAGGCCTTGCGCTTCCATGATAGACGTTTTGCGCCGCGCCACGCAGATGACTAACGCCGCCGATCATGACACGCCGCCGCTGACCGATTAGAAAGATCAGCGTAAACGTCGCAGATTAATTCACAACAAGGTGATACCGTGTGTATGGTGGGATTGAAAGGACATTATTCATTATGAGCTATTACCGCCGACAGGACCATCGAATCTGAACTCTACTGCAAACAACTGATGAGATTGAAGCAAGAAGTTGAAAGACAGCGGCCAGAATTGTTCAATATATTTTGCCATTCAGCAAAAATTAAGAGAGTTTGGCTGTCCTGACCTTGCACCTTCAGATTTCTACCGGTTTGGGGTCTTCAGATTTTTTTTAGGCAGTGTCAAGTTAACATCAAGCTAGGACTGCCAAAACCACTTGTCGTGGTTTTTTGATAAGAAGCCCCAAAATCTCTATAGCAATAGGATCATGAACCTACCTACAAGATGGCAAAAGTTATCGATCAAAATAAACTTTATTAAAAAATGTTTTAAATTTTCACATAAAATGTGAAGAAACTTTCCCCAACCTATTATGACAAATGCAAAATGGCTGTTTAAGGTGCGAATGAATGAGAAGATATAAATTTCTTTGAAAGCATGCATTGTTGATAACATTATTGTTTGATTTCATTGTGACTTCGTTACATAATTTAGAAGAGTATTGTTGTGCCATATTTGATTAGTATGCTAATGTACTTTAGCTGAATAGATGTTACAATACTAGAGTTTTCCAACTATTTGTCATCTTATATATTCTACCCTGTTCAAACACAAACAAATGACTCTATTCTATTCTATTTACTTTTTATTTTCCACCGTTTGACATAACGACGCCGTTTACGTAGCCATTTACGCCGCTGCTGAATTTTTACCTCTACGCCACCGCCGAAGATTTCAGCATCGACGCACATGCCTATTCCGTGACTACTCTATCCAAGAATATAGTATATATTTTCGTTTGTACACTCAGACTGGATTGCATCATAATAGCATATCCTCTTCCTAAGCATAGCAAAACAATAACTGTAACTAGCGAAGCTTGAGCGGTTATACTTAACAGTTAAAGTAATGACGTCATATAACCATTGCCATATAGTGCAAGCAACTCATTATTTACTTGTCCTGTACTTTAAGATATTTGTTGTCGAAGTAAGTTGGTGCAACCAACCTAATTGTTTTGCTATTAACACATGACTGTCTAAATTCTTAAATACTTGTTACCTATTTTAACGACCAGTGAACGTAAGTTAATCAACAGTTAACTTATATATTCAGATAAAATTTAAACGGCATTGTTCCCTCCCTCACAAAACTTCATAAAGTGCAGTAAATAATCAAAATGGCTGCCTGTCTTGCGGGGGCGTTTCGGAATAATGACCGGGTTCGTGTGCCCAATAAAGTATTATTGCATTAGCCCGATGCCAGATGTAGTCTTAAGTTATAAAATTATTTCTTTTTCAGTTCGTTTGAACGTTTACAGTTATAGAAACTAAAACATAATAACTGTTTTTTATCCAAAATTTTAAGACCAGCTGCAGTATTTTTTTAATAACTGGCCAAGTGTGAGTCGGAGTCGGACAAAGTATTCCCTATCATAATCCATATAAAACGCAAAAAATACCACCTTTGTTACTTTGGATATACCGTAAATATTTATTATATTCTGTTTTTTAGTATTTGTTGTGATTGCGGCAGCATAAATACATCATCTGTGAACATTTCTACTAAATAGGTATAACGGTTTATAAGATACAGCCTGGTGACAATACGGACGGAGGAAAGGTAAGTCTTAGGAATAGAATCCCCGACCGACCCAAAGGGTAGGGTACGGAACCCTAAAAAGCCTCGAACGAGCCATCGAGGGCCGCGTTGAGAGATTTACTATATTGAACCTGTATGCTATGATAGCGATTTGTTCGCTACCAAGTTAGGTTTGTTTTTATAGCAGAATAGTACTACAAGAGGGGGTCAATATTAGGTATATTTGAATATGTCACCCGCGTATAATGTAGCTAGCAGTTGATGAAAGAATTTTCATAATCCGATCAGTATTTCCGAAACTAGCCCCCTACAAATAAATGAAGTTTACCTCTGTTATAATATTAGTACTTATATCAGCCATTTCCATTCGTGGCCGTAGGAATTTTAATTGTGGACTCGTGTATGCTTGTAATTAGTTTGACCCTTATTAACTTTGACACGTGGGCTATTGAAACTATGCTACTGAAATCAAACACGTGCTTGATTAGTAAGAAGAAATATTTATTTTGTTAGTAAATAACATAGCATGACGTTATGCTTAGCTTAAAATATATCAAATCCACAATTGATTTTCAACTCTATCCTCAATGTATTAAGGTTTTAAATCAAGTGGAGAGACAGTTTCAGATAAGCTCACTTGCTGTTGACTCACAGAAAAAAAAATTGTTTATATGGCACACATTAACCATATCCGAAAATTAGGCCTAACAAAATAGTGAAATCTATTTAAATTTTAATATTTACGAGGAACTATCTCGACCTCTTTTTTTTAATTAGACTAATTTACAAATCGACCCCATTTCATAGTCGTTCCTCTATTGACATAAACCCGCACCTATCCTAATGGCTATCCTGAAATCTAATATATAGATTGTTCAAAAGTGTTGCCGCCACGCGAACGGTCAGTGCGTGCGCCCCAGACTGTGGTATTGATCCCACCACCTGCCGACCACCACTCCTAGCCGCTCCACTTATTTCCTTCTAGTCGGCCATCGCCCCGCGCGACGTTACCACTTAATGCTAAAGACGACAAGAAAAGAACCTAAATCGTGATTTAAAAAATATACTGTCAAAAGAGACCCGCGTTCGACACTTGAAATAATATACCTTATTTAAATAAAAAATATATATATAGACCTGCAGTTTGTGTTCGAGATTTAAATGCGCCCGGGTGCAGCCAAAACCTAACAAAACTTTTTTTATTTATATCACGTGTTAGCCAGTGTTTTTAGTGTTCAAAAAAGTGTTGCGAATACCTCATGCTTTATTGTGTAATGGAATGATCCATACTACTCGCGCGGTTGTATCATATTAACTCAATTTACGAAATTAAGCTTCATAATTGCACGTTTGCTGTGGAGTATGCCGGCGAGCAGTTGAATAAAAATTTCAACGATGAAACAAGCAAATTAAAACTTTATACCTACTGAATTAACAACTTGCACTCTCCGGAGTCTATTCCACTTTTGATGGCTATCTCTACGAAGCTTTCACCTTAAAATACAGTTAACAATTGATCGCAAAGAGGAAATTGTTATCAGACGTCTATCACATGCAAATTATTATCACGCCACTTATCTAAGCCCCTCTTAGCCGAGAGGGAACTCCGATATTTCCATCTCGCCTGGCATACTAACCCGATAGAGCGGAATAACAGAATTTTCTTCACAGTTGCTACCTAGTATCAGCTGATTCAGTCATCGGCGATATAAGATAAAATATCTTGAAGAAAATTACTGGAAATTAGAATAGCGTCACGTTATTGTAACAGCGAACGAAACGCCGTGAGTCAGAGGATAGCAGTCGACGCAAGCGCGCTGCAGACTCGTGCAATTACTTTTTTTATGGAGACAATTTTCTAAATTCAAAAGAGTACCGCGCTTGTGACTAGAAAACGAAACGAAACGATTTTTTTTTTCATTCGAAACAAAATAACAGAACACGAAATACAATTTTTTGAATTTTTCGTAGTGTCAATAAGTGTATAAACATTAGTGAAATGTTGTGATTGTTATTTTTATAATGGAACGAAGTGTTTTGGCGGATACAAGGCACATCCATTGGAGTTCTGAAGTAAGTTTTTTTCCATCGTTTCATTGACCTTTGACCTTTCTAACGGAAAATAATTCGGGTGAAAATTTGTCGCAGACAAAGCAAACACGAAGCGAGTTCTTCATTAAGTTTATGGATATTAATGTTCACGTTTCCTACACTTACGAAAAATTATTTTTACAACAGATCATACAGTGTTTATAACAAATAGAATAGACTAGAAAAAATGGATATGACGCAATATTATACTGTTTATAAGTTAATATATTTAAATTTACAATAAAAAGAAAAAATATTGTTTCGTCATAAAACAAATTGTGTTATTAGTTAATAGTGCATAATTAAAATAATAAATATAATTATAAATATTATTTTACGTAAATCTATTAAACATTTTAAACAAAAACTACCATGTCAACTAGTTCTTGTTTAAAAAGATTAGTTGATAAAAGAAATAAAGTCAGAATTCGATGAAATACCAAAAATAGAGCCCCGAAAATGTTATCAATAAATTATATTTGATAGTGTTTTTACATTAACAAAGTTATAACACGTTTACCATAAAGCAAAACAATTAATTCATTAGTCTGAAAATAACTTCAATATGGGTGTAAAAAATTAATTTAATTTTCAAAATTTCCCGCGAAATCGCCACTTCTGTCATGGCGTCGCTATGACGTCACAGCACTCTGAAACGAATATCGTTTTATATACATAAAGTATACACTCTAGAGTCTAATATCATAAAGAAGGCGTGACGTCACACGCTATTTGCGGTCACATGACGACGAGCATAAAAGTGTGATTATTGGTAAAAGTATATTAAAGAGTACCAGAAAAAAAAGATGTATTTATTTTTAACGTTAACTGTTTACAGCTGTATTTAATGTCAGGCGACCTTCATGGCCATGTGGTCCATATTCGCCATCTCTGAGACCCAGGGATCGTCTCTCTCAATACAGAAAATGAGCTATATAATATTGTTTTAATTTTGGTTTTGCAAATTACCAGAACACAAAGGCTTTGCTAATTAATGCAATGTATATGATGTTGTCTAAAACCTATTTAAGGCGACTTTCGTGGCCGGCATCATCTCTGAGATCTCGGTTACGTTTCCTGGTCGAATTAATGTATAAAACTTTATTCTAAATTAATTCGGGTCTTCTCTATATTATAGAATATATATACCCTAAAGCATAGGTTTTAGATACTTATCTTGGTATTTGAGTAATGTAATGTAAATCTAATATTTATTTCATTATTTTGCATTCACATATTTACTTATAATCGCAAATCTGCTACATATTTATGAATTTTATCTATGGTTAATAAGTAGAATTACGGAAAGAAATGAACTGGGTGTCGGTAAATGTCTGACTGAAGACACGTCGCGACACATCGGTCGTGAAACGTCGGAACTGACAAATATATATATGATATAACACTCAACCTTGTACTCTTGACGGATAATCCGTCGCATACTTCTGTGAAACGATTGACGGCTCTTCTTATTATTTTATTCATAGAGGAAAGTATGTCTATTTCTTTAAAAATAATTCTTAAAGAGTCCTTAATCCTGAGATGTTATAATTGATCTAATAGTTCTCTTCTGAAATCTAAACATCATTTTGTATATAGACAGCATTTTCCACAAAAAAATTCCGTACAACATTACACTTTGAAAGTAGTGGAAGTATAATACTCTGGCAGTACCTATATCAGTTAACCTGCTTAATTTTATTACGGCATATGCTGAAGAGCTAAGTCTTTGACAATTTATCAATATGAGGGCTCTACTCGAGTTTAGAATCTAGTGTAATCACTAAAAAATAAACTCTTTAACATCAAGACTTTTTTTTTATTAATATAAAAAAAAAATCTGTTATTTGGTTCTCCCTTCATTAAGAAGATTATTCACAGAGTACTACTTTAGCGATAGAATTTAAAAATTTTAAAACAAGAAAATTCTTTTACTTGCATCTTTTTGTTTTAAATCTTACAGAGGGTAATACAATCATACACATTACTAGGGATATTAGGTACTTTTTTGGATATATAGGTCTCTCCTCCGAAGACTGTCCCAATTATTGAATCGACATATCCATGGAGGCCTACTCACTAAAACCACTACGGTGACATTCTAAGTCACTTGGACACTCATCCTGGGGTTAAGACATCAATCACCAATATAAAAAAATATGAAATAAAAATAAAAATTAGAAGTATTAGACATCAATATATACCTATATGCAATACATTGCTCATATCCCAAACTAAGCATTAGTGCTTTACCTAAATCAATGCGCATAATGTCATATTTCCCATCAAATGACGGAAAAAAAGCCCAACGAAATCGTTGGTATCTATAGCTGTGTTGCTGCTCAGTCTACGTTGTAATTGTACCTTGTGCCGTGAAACTTGTCTGTGTATTTTTTGCGCGGGAATAATCTAACAATGGCGTCCGAAGGCTTTCCACAGACAATAAAAGTAGTATATCGACCTTGATTGCGCCGTGTTCAATTTATTTTGTCTATTTTTAAATTATTTTAATAACTGGAGACTGTAAGTGAATATCTTATTCCCTCCAATTTTAAGTTATTATTTAGTCTTCAAAATTATTATTTGACTATGTTTAAATATATAAAAAAAATTACAATCTTTCGCGTTATACTAGTAACTTTTTGCACAACAGTTAATTTAATTTAAGAACGTCATGTAGTATAATAAAGACCTTTTAAAAATATTATTTCAGCGCAAGACGAAAGATAAGTAAATATTTGCTAAATTAATAATCTATTGTGTGAACCTAAATAGAACATTTAACAATGCGAAAAAAGTTTTAATTTAAAAAGGTTGGTAGCCCTACTAGCGGCGTGGTATAATTTGTCTGTGGCTGGCTGTCGCAATATTTCACCCGTATAATCTTGGCTCACAATGGAACACGATTGTCTTTTACCGTTTTCGACAATCCGCAAGCAACTGTCTGTGAAGAAAAAAAAATTATTTTATCCAAACGATTCATCTAAGAAGTTGTTTACAAAATGTTGTATTATCGAATTACCAATCGAACGAAAACGAATCACTGTTGTTATGTTTAATTAAAAAATGTAAATCATTTTTGCTCCATTCATTGGTTTGTTATATTATTCAAAGAGAATTTAATTTCCATATTTCTTTGATTATGTAAAAAGGGCACATTACATCAAACATTTTTGTTTGGATTTAACGAACCTTTGTCTTTATTTCTCATATATTTATAATATTAACTTGATATCAAAAGTAAATAATTACTTTAATTTACATTCAATAAATGTTATTGTACAAACTTAACGAATACAAACAGCAATTTGGTGTAGATAGTTATTTTCTTAAAATAAAATATATTACAAATTCCTAACTTTCAAATAATTAAAAAAAAGTAAAGTCCAGACGTTACCTTTTCCACTGTATTGTATAAATACTCGTTTTTATCCATTCAATACCCATCATATAGAAACATATTCCTGAAAGCCGATATAAAAAAAAAAAATATTCGTGTGGATTTTTTTCATTATGAATATTAAAAATTAAAGTTAGAGGTCGCTTCATGAAGAATATTTTTCAGTATAGCATTGTGAATGCAAAATTTATCATATATAATAAAAGGTTTGTTATATTTCGTCAATATAAGACATAATATGCAATTTCTTTTATATTTCTTGTATTTTACCCTTTTACTTTAGAAAAAAATGTATAAACATTTTAGGCACTTCGGGCCTAAAATGTTTATGCATTGTAAAATGTCGAGCGAATTCCGCAGGCGAATTCTAATGCAAGAAATTAATATTAAAATAGTTTTGGTCGTTCTATTTCGTCATAATCTTTCCAAATCAATCTCATTGACTGACATATTTATTTATATCTTAATCTCTTTATATATATTAAAGTGCAATCCTAATATAGGTAGAAATAAATACATATAAAATCATTTTTAATTTAAAAAGAACTGACGTGTAAGTAAATTAAAATTGTAGTGAAGTGAAAAACACGCGTTTCTAATTTCATCCGTACAGTTCGGGGTCGACAGCCTGTGCCGATGAATAGTTCGTTTTGACACCATTCGGTATGACGTCAGTTATAATCATAGGCATTAGATTCTTTGGAGAAAAAAATCAAACGCCAGATACTAAGTGGCCAGTTCGATAAAACACTAATTTCAAGCTACTTTAATACTTGCCATGGTACTTAGATCGTTAGTAGCAGGTCAAATCTTGCTATATGACTTAGATGGCAATGTAATATTAATATGGAATGATGCTGACCTGATGATGGAACCGGAATGTAGCTATAGGACCTCTGTAATTAAAGGAAACAATGTCGTCGAGTTTGGGCTCGTCTTGATTTCTTTTGACAAGGACTTATTCTGAAAGTACATTACATTATCTTTACTTATATTATAAATACCCGAATCGGCTGTATTGACCGGTTTTTTTCCCATATTAGATCACTTTATTATAATTAATTAATTACAAATACTGTTTCTAATCGTAACTTCTTACAGTGCAATCGATGTTGCCAATTCTCATTATTGATCGACCCTTCTTATTTCGTTTTACTCAATTTCAAACAAAAACAGCATCGCAATAATTGCATAACCGCTATTGTTTTATCTTAATCTGACAAAGTTTGTTTCGCAGTTTTGCAATTATTTTTTTTTTCACTTATTTAGTGACGTAAGAATATCTGTCTGTCACAATGATTTCGATTCCATAAATTATAGAAATCAATTAATTTGTAGCATTATTTCGAATCTATACTTATATTATAAAGAAGCTATGTTTCCAACTTTATTTGTTTGTTTTCAGTTAGAAAGCTAAGTCATTCACGGGGTCAGAGATTCTCCATTACATGGTCTAAGTGACGGAAAACAGCTAATCTATAATATCTGCAGTGCTATTCTGTTTAAAATACAGCGCCGAACCCAGCGTCGAGCTTCGATCAAATTAAACCTAAAGCTTTCATTTGATTGAATTTACGCTGTG